ACTTTTATTTATATGTATTTCCTTTCGAATAATACGTAAATAGAATCATGTTTAATGGTGTAAACGGAAAAATATTCAATTATTATCCTCAGGGATAAATTATAGTAATAGTATCAGATTTAAAAAAAAATACACTTAAAAATAAAAGCTCTCATTCAGACGTTATTCACAGAAAAGAAAGGATTGACTTAAAGCTGAACACGATTCGTAAATAGGCATACGCCATATTCGATTATACTATCTACAATATCAGCACCGGGATATAGCCTTCGCATTCGTTACACCTGACTGCTTGGCGACACATGTCGTGCTGGTCATCTTGCATTGCCTTTGTTTATTTATGTTATTGCAGTTACGTGTATTTGAGTTTATAATTGTAATGCACTGACCTGTGCAACTGTTGTAAGTTTCTTTGGTATCTTACTCTCCTGCCGTAGAAGAAGTACACAGTTTTTTTTCTCGTTACCGAGTGCTGTGTAGCATGCGTCCGTCTACACCGGTGACAACTGATTATACTGAACAGTGACTTAGTGAGCGGCTTATATAGTGGCTCTCAGATATACCGAGCGAAAAATCGAATATGGAGGACAAATTCCTTTTACGAATCGTGTTCAGCTTTAAGAAAGGATTTCAAAGAATTATTGTATTGTATTTTACGAGTTTGACCATCTGACCTCAATGCTCCAAAGTTGTCCTGTTATATACTCTTTCATTTAAGGATCACTTCATTTTTCGTGTAAAGATTCCGAGGACAGAAGCACATGATAGAATACTTTCTGTAGAAACCCTTACAAAAAACTGCTTGACTGTAGTTATCCATACTATATTTTGGAAAACTATTATACATGTAGTTCCAACCTAAATATCATTGTTAAGTACTCGAACATGGACACTGAATCAAAGATTTAGAAATACTGCCTTTAACAACACCTACATTGCTGGACTAAATTTGCATAATGAGAAGATGTCAGAATTTATTCAATTCTGAACTTATATGAAAATGGCGGGAAAGAAGAATTTCAACAGAGTCAGACATTATTCTATTGTGGTGACAGCTTTTGTAGATGAGATTTTAAAAAAAAAACATACATGTACAGTCAAACCTCGTTATCTCGAACTCGATGGGACCAAGAAAAAACTTCGAGATATCCGAGGATTCGAAATATCGAGGGTAAATACTTAAGGAATGAGTAGTTGGGACTTCTAAATCACTTCAAAATGTACATGGTATTCGAGATATCAGTATTCAAGATACCGATGTTCAACTGTATATGTCGTCACAAGGATAACAAGGCCAATTTATTTGACTTCTAGGATTTTTAAGAAGCCTACTAGGATCAGATGCCCACACGAGGTAGGAACAGGATTGAAGTTGGGTTTCAAACGATACAAAGATGGATTCTTCCAACACGATTCAACTTTCCAAGGTCTTTGAAAACATAAGAATTTTTACGAACAAGGTCCGTCCACATTGTCAGAAATCTGTTTTGGTCTTTCCAAACAAACTTTTAAATCACTATAATTTCCAGAATAAAAGAAATAACCTAACACTCCTTGTAATAAAAATGCCACTAATATTTGTGAACCCGGTATACGTTGATCCTACATGTATGTTATTCCAGAGAGTTTTTATCATGGTTCCCCACGATAAATTAAAGTCACGGGCTTTTTGACATCATAGACATTGCTTTTTCAATAAAAATGGAACTCGTAAATATATTTACCTTGCCATTGGTCATTTTCAAAATTGCTTTGTTAAAAACATTCTGATTGTACACACAAGTACTCTGAAGTTGCAGGGTTCTCCATGGACCGTTTCACGCGGCGGCCCCGCCACAGTTAAATTCTGTAGCGCCACAGTTAAAAAATCAGCGCCATAGTTCCGCCACAGTTAAAATATTAGCGCCACAGTAAGATCGTCGTCGTCAATACAAAAAATATATAAATTTATAAATCAAATGAACCTCTGAATTATGTACCGTTTTTCAGTTTCTATTGCTAAACTGTTAATTTACTCTAATTAGGGCCCATTGTTTGGCTTGCAAAATCAATTATCTTCTAGACCTCGCTGGACACATGAACAAAAAGAGACAAGTCATTTTATTCACACTTCACGATAATTACAAATGAAATTTTAAATATTAATTAATTCATGCTTTAATAGTTCTATAGATAACCATGTATTTAAAATTGCATTGGTACTGCGAGTTAAAACATGGTAGGTGTATTGTTACTTGTCATGTATTTTTTTACTGTTGAAAAATTAGTAGACCCACAAAAATATAATTTTATGACTCGTAACTGCTTAAATGTTTTTTTTAAATCACAAGTTTTAAGACACATGTACTTCAGTCTTCAGACCAATAATTGCAAAAAATATAGATCTGATGTAAGCCTGATTGTTTGACCTACCAGAATTTTCTGTCCTTTAATTAACACTGTAGGTGTATAATTTACCTTTTGTAAACATTTAGAAAAAAAATAGGGTTAAATGCTTAAAAACTTGTTATTAGCGGTACTATTAATTTCAAATTCTATAAGCTAATATTTGTTAAATTATAAGTACATATATGTTTGGGAAGGGGGGTGTCTTTTTCACAGTATACATACATATATGTATATCATGGAAACATCTAATTTTTGTTTTACACTATGTTCAATTGATATCGATTAACTGTTTTTATTATTGAATTCATCAATCATATTGACAAATAATTAATGCAATTTTTATATTAATCTATTGTTTCATAAGGGATGTGTGTTTTTCAATTTATTTGAAAATTTATTTCATGGTTTCTTCACTAGTTTGGTCGCGAAATGACCGCCAATATTAGCACTTCGCGTAAGCCTTGTGCCACAATTAAATTTGAAATGATGGAGAACCCTGAGTTGCTTAAAAGATGGCTGAGTTTCTGTTAAAACTGACTGTAGTTTTTGAAGATCAGGTCTTCCAACAATCTGTTGGAATTCCCATGGGTACCAATTGCACCCCTTAATAGCAGATATATTTTTTTTATTCATATGAAGCAGAATTTTTTCAAAACTTCTACTTGAGAAGAAGAAAACATTTGCTCTCGCCTTCAACTCGACATTTAGATATATGTCAGAGTTTGACAGATCTGTTTCATATTTGGATATTTTACTAGAAAAAGACTTTAATGGTTACCTAACAACAAAGCTTTATGATAAACGTGATGACTTTAATTTTTCAATCGTCAACCTTACTTATGTAGCAAAACACCCTTATCACCTGCATATGGGGTTTATGCTGGCCTCTAAGTGACCTCTAAAAGGCGCCAGTTGGCACCTTGTAAAAAAATAGTCGCCAATGCAAATTTTTAGTCGCCATTGCAAATTTTTATCGCTAGGCAAATTTTTCTCAGGCGCCAACTCTAAAAGCTGATATTAAACAATGTAAGGACTTATGAGGCACAGTCATGGGAAGGAGGTGTCTAGTGCTCCTTCCACTTTTGAAAGTGGAGGGTCATAAGAGTATCTTTGTGCCCCCAACCCTTGACGGAATGGTAACGTAGGAGATAGCAGTAAACTAGGATTTAGAATCCCCCTTCAGAAAAAAAACAAATAAATAAACAAAACATTGTTGAAATGTTTATAATTCCGGAATTCGACTATTGCCAAGTAAATTTAAAATGGTCGCCAATTTGGCGACTTATGGAGAAATTTTAGGCGCCAATAAGAAACTCAAGCCATGGAGACTAAATAAGTCGCCAATTAGAGCCCTATTATGTCTCCCAGTCAGTTTATCCGATACGCAAGAGCAAACTCAACGTATGAACAATTTCTAAATTGAGGTAAGCTACATGTATTGACAAACAAGTTGATGAAACAAGGATATCAACAGTCTCGTTTGGAGTCATCATTTGGCAAGTTTTATGGCCGATACATTGACCTTGTCAGCAAATACAACCTATCATTAACTGACTGACGTTTTTCATACTAATTGTTAGGCCGTTATTTACACACTGAATTGTCTACAGATTTTTTCCGTTTTTCCCGACCATGACAAGGAGCACACGGCGGATGTGACCGGTCGGCAGGGGATGCTCACTCCTCCATGGCACCTGATCCCACCTCTGTTGTTTTTGGAGGTATGTGTTTGCTCTGCTCCCGATTTGTATTGTTTAAATGGATTTTGAGCTGGAATATTGTTTGTTACCTCCATATTCCATTTTAAAGAAAATGAGTTTGAAAAGAAAGGATAAATAAAGGAATCATGCATAAGAAAGAAAAGTGGATATATGTATTTTAATCAATTTAGTGGCCCAAATAGAGCTGAATTTGTTTCGGTTGCTTGTTGACCTTATTGTTTCCATAGTGGATGTCCATTGTGACTGACCATGGAATCGACTACTCAGTGGGGGGAAATAGCTAGTGCTGCAGATAGTGGCCCGAGTAGATTTTATGTTTCTCTGATACCAGTCTATTTAGATAATGAAACTTAATTACTCTCTAAGTCTTCAGTTCAGTATTGATTTTTATCAAGATATGGATATTCAAATAAATTAAAATATCCAATCAGGTTATGGGGAAAGTTTTACTTTCATTTAGGAAAAATATTCTTTTTGGATACGTAACGGATTGGCAACAATAAAGTACCGTTACAAAACTCTTGAGAGAATAATTTCTGGCGAGTCTGAACCATATTTTTCCTTAAATCTCATCATCAAGAAAATACAAAAGTGTGGTCTATTCAACTTTAGGGTTATTCATGGTATTGATTCTGTCTTCTCAGGTTCCATAAAAATCTTGTTTATGGTTGTTTGGTTGTACCCTATTATACTTGGCCCACTATTATTTTATTTTCATTTTTATGATAAGATTTTCCTTAGAAAACGTCTTGTATCATTTACCATCTGTTACTTTGAAAGTCATATAATATTGAAGGGATATGAATATAAAACATTTTTCTCATTCAAAGGTAGGTGTAAGAGAGGAGAGCATGTCTCCAATGTTATACCAATATGATCTGCTCTACGGTCATGTCCTCTAATACTAGTTTCAGCAACAAGTCTTCAACAATCAACAATTCTGCGGATTTCCAGACCTCCCTTGATATATGGATATATTTCTCTCCGGTCCTTTTAGTTGTTGGTGCTTTTGGAAATACTGCCAGCATTTTCATTCTAACACGCCGATCCTTCAGGAAGTCTACCTGTATGTTCTATCTAACAATGTTGTCAGTGGCAGACCTGATGGTTCTATATACGGGATTGCTACGGTTTTGGATTCGCTCTGCATTCTCCGTCGATATTCGCACCTTATCGATATGGAGCTGTAAGATTCATGCTTTTCTGGTGTACTTTGCAATGGATTTTTCTTCTTGGGTTTTGATGACAGTCACCCTTGACAGATTTGTTCTAGTTTGTTTTCCCTTCAAAGCACATCTTTTTTCCACAATGAAGAAGGCCCCATACGTCGTACTGATTTTGGTGTTAGTCTTAATTTCTGTCAACAGCCATTTTTTTGCCACGGTTACTATTAAAAATTCATCATGCACATACGAAAACGAAATAACCATGAAGGTATGGCCTTGGGTGGACTTAATTGTGTGTAATCTAATCCCATTTTTAGTCATGCTGGTGTGTTCGATTATGATTTCTAGGAAAGTTCTTCAAACAAACAAACGTGTTGCTGCCCAGAACACACCATCTGTGCCTGAAGAAAGTGTAATTCCATCAAATGACAGTAGAAGAATTCTGAAGACTTCTTCGATTACTATCATGCTCCTGATCATAATTTTTTCTTTCTTCTTGTTAACTCTTCCTCTCGTTGTTTTTAAAATTTCCCTGCCATACTGGATTCAGGTGGTCACCAATTCAGAACTACAAATGTTAGAACTGGTCCGAACAATATTCAGCATGTTACAGTACACAAATCACGTGATTCATTTCTTTTGTTGCCTCAGCGGAAGACGATTTCGTCGAGAGGTCAGGGGTATTACATGTTGCTATGGGAACTGAATGACTGAACAGTGAAAAAAAGTTAAAACTTCGTAACTGTGAAAAGACTTTGAAACAGCCCGGCACGACATAATCTCTGTTGGGGTTTGTATAGAATGGAGTCAATTATCAAAATCGCAGACTTAAGCAAACATTATTTTTCTCAATAATTATTGGGGGGGGGGGGTTATTTATTAGAAAAATTACTTCCATTCAACATTTCATTGCCAGAATATTTTTTGATACTTCAATTTTAGCAAAAGTTGACTTAATTTGCAGTAATGATGAATTGTTTTTCATTAACCATATTCTAATCCATTTCCGTACTGGGACTTCAATTGCACTTGTCAGGACACAAATTACAATTCGTTATGCATGTATTTATTGCATTTTTTTTTCAAATGAAACTCAAATTTCATCGGGCAGTTTTCAGCTGAAACAATGCGTAGTTTTGCTGTTGATTTTATTATAATTATTATGGATGAATACTTCTCTGAAATGAAAGAGAATACATGTATTACAAAGCTCGGAGTACATATTGTAATTAGATGGAATTCTACTAGTTTATTTAGGCCAGTGACATGGCATTAATTTGTTAGGTCGATTATCTCAATACAAAATGTAATGAAAAAAATAATCAGTTGTATTTTCCACACAAATATATGTAAACACAAAATAATTTTTTAATAAAATGAAGTCGTGACATTTTCAGGAACTATATATATTATCAGGTAGATGAACAAGAAAGCACTTTACAATTTAATGCAAAGGACTATAACTTGTATACTCAATCAGATTTCTCTCATACAGAAATGAGATCAATTACTGTGTTCATGTATTTAAAAAGCCTTCAAAGTACACTTTACTTTGTTTTTCTTTGATTTAATTCAAAATAAATTACGAGATTTTTAAGACATTTAATGCATCAAATAAAAATGACGTTGCAAAAATAATTGACCAAATTATATTTCTTTATTTTTTTATTTTTTTATTATTTTTCAAATTTTTTGCAAACGCTTATTATTTGTTGTGTATGAATACATAGCACCGTATATGCTCTGGATATATAATACAAGTAATAAACATATTTGGAGTATTGTGTATCTTTGTGATGTGATTATTTTTAACGATTTTAATATATCATCTTAGAATGGCTTCATAACTTTTTTTACAAGTGTCTTTCATCTACATAAAACGTACTTGTACATTCTGAGCCTCACAAAAATTGATTAAATTTCGGTCCGTATATATTGCAAAAATTCAATTTTTATACCTAAATATATTGTTGGAGTTTCTTTCATTTCATGATTCAATGATTATATAGTGTGTGATTTTACATGGTGAAACTTAAATGGAATAGAGGGCGCCAAATTCCAAAAAAAGGATTTTATCTTCTTGATCCTCAGACGTATGTTTTATTCTCTGTCGTCAAATGGAGTGGAGAGAAGCTGGTTTCACCAAGTCCGTCAGCTATCGTTTTAAATCATTTCATGAATTTTAAATGTCCCTGTTTGTTTGCTCTCTGCACCTTATGAGATGTGAGGCTCGCAAAACCGCATGCATCCGACCAAATGGGTACACGTAAATCAACTAGCACAGGTGAATGCCGAATATAAATTAATGTTGCAAAGATATTCTGGTACATTCCACTTAATACTTATACTAGATAATATTTTACCATATTATTGGTGCCCGCGTGGTGCAGTGGCAGAGCTTTTGCTCTAGAGTCACGGATTAAGAAGTTTTCGAATCCCAATACGGGACGTGAATCCGGTCTCTCGGGATGAGACTGTATAAACTGAGGTCCCGTGGTGCAGTAGGTGCTGTCATGAAAAAGATCCCTCTCTACTCAAAGGCTTTAAGTGCCCAGTAAAGGGCTAAATTTGCATCCATCCACCGGCAAGTGGTGGTGTCTCAATATGAGTGAAAAATTCTGGAAGGGACATCAAATAAACAAACAAACAAAACCATTTAAAATATTTTGTTCTCAAAGTTATGCCTAAAAACAATAGCACAACAATAAAACACTAAAGACATATGCACACAAGATGTTTAGAATTTTTTAAAACATTTAACAAAATGGGAAAGATGCTCATTTAAAATAAATCTCAACAATTTTAATATCTTTGGTCTACATAAAAGTGGCTCCATGAAAGATTAGAGTGAGAAAAGTGATTCTTTAAATTGTATTTTTACAGAAGAGTGACACATAATATATATCGGAGAAAGCTAGACCTCTATTTCTTCTTCCGTGGTAGTTACATTTATTTCCTCATTGTCAGAGATATCTGAGTCCATTACGTCAATAGTTTGTCGAAATAAGTCTCCATCAGCTTCACCATTCCCAGGTTTGGAGGCAGATGCAGTCGTCTGCCCACAGAATGTGTCTACGTCAACAAAAGACGTCTTATTTTCGTCCAATGACTTCAGTCTTTCGTGAATACGTTTATGTCGTTCCAGATTACTCTTATGACTCGTAGCATAATCACAGTTGGGACAGGAGAAATCTTTCTGGCCACTGTGAACAGACAGGTGACGTTTTAATAACGCTTTACGACAAAATCGACGTCCGCAATAAGGACACGAGTAACCATTGTGATGAAAAATCATAATATGTTCCCTTAAAGAAGCCTTAGTGCCAAAAGTCACTCCACAACACTCCAAAACTTTATCGCATGTTTGATGCATTGTGGAAATATGTCTTTTGAGGTTGTTCCTCCGATCTGTGACGTAGCGGCAATGTGGACATGGGAAAAGTTTCCCGCGAAATGTGTTACAAACAAGCATTGCAAGCTCGAGATAGTTTCTATTGATGATAGGCGTTTTTATTTTTGAAAGATCGGTTGGGAATGCAGCATGAGCATTGAAAGCTTGTAACTGTGCCGTGTTAAACTGTTTGAAATCACACATGTTTCCATTCTGAAAAGCAGGGTAAAATGCTCCTGGGTACTGTAGAAATGTTGCGGGAACTGGCATTCTGTGGACACTTGGTAATGTAGCTATTGCAAGACTTTGCGAAGAAGTTGTCGCTGTGGTACTTGGATTCAGTGCTCGTAACGAGGCTGTGGTCAAGGTTGAACTTGTTAGAGATGTTGGATCACCGGCAGATCGCGGGATTGGCTGTCTACTGATATGTGAGGTATGGGCTTGAGGTGGCTGAAGAGTTCTTCCGGAGTTTGAAGGGATAATGAATTGACCTCCAACCATGTGGATATCAGTGCGACTGCAAAAGAAAATTTACCCACTAAGAAAATCTAATTTAACATTTAATTTCATTCGCATAACTGAGATAAAAAACTAAAAATAAATTTAAGAATCAAAATCTTTTTTTACAACACCACTTTGATTATGTAGGCACTATCATTAGATAAAAAGAAGATATATGCTTAAAAATTTCATAAGCTTCCTCATATTAAAAAAGGAAATCTAAAAGTTATTTATCTCTGTAATATTTTTTTCATTTCTTGGAATACTCAACATCTTTCTCCTTAATCGGCTAATGGAATATTTTTTGAACTGATACTTTCCATCTGTGAATGAAAAAAGCTATTTTCCCTGTTTTAAAAATACAGAAAATAGTATCCAACTTTGTCAAAAATTAAATATATGTGAGATGTTCGCGAAAGATTTTTTTTCCACTTTAATTTATTTGTAGACCTTTTTATCTTTTTATGGTTTCTTGCAAATACACGTGTATCTGCTGATTATAGCCGAGTCTTTTATAAATCATACAAGACATGCAATATACATGTATTTATATTAATTTGCAAAATTTATTAAGTGACAATTAAAAATTGAAGTATTTTGTTTAAAAGACATAATCTGATAAATTTTAATTTTATTAAACTGCATGTTGCAATTAGTTGTTTCAAAATACAAGAAAATGTGAACTTACGAGACTTCTCTATTCAAGTTTTCAATTTCTTGTGAAACTGTAATGATGTGATTCTGTATGTAAGTGTACAACTTTTATTTGAATCTGTAATGCCAATTTACAATAATTTTATGATCTGTGATGTCAGTAAGCAATTCTGTGTAAACCTGTAATCTAAGTGAGCAAGTTCTTTTGTTAACCTGTTATATCAGTATGTAATTTTTATGTGAACCTTTTATGTCAGTATGAATTTTATGTGAACCTGTTATGCCAGTATACAAATTTTTGTGAACCTGTTAAATTAAGAAACTGTGCAGTTTTTTATGTGCATTATTAGTATGCAATTTTGTGTCCCCTGCAGGGCAGAGCGACTTTTAGGGATTACTTTACCCGGCGTCTGTCTGTCCGTCTGTCCGTCTCTCACACCTCATATCTGAAGAACTGTAAGAGGTATGGGTTAGATATTTTGCACATATATTGCGTGCCTCTATGGCTTTTATAAATTACCATGGATACAGACTTCTTGACCCTTGACCTACTTTTCAAAATAGTTCATATTGCCGGTATACAGCCTACTTTTGACATTTAAGAGGAAAATTTATGCTATCCGTATTCCACAACGGACAGACAATTGCATTAGAGACAGACTGAAATCTCTTTTTGAGGATTGTTGGAAAACACGTATTAATAAGAAGAAAAATAATAATCTATTATAATTTCAATTTATTTCATTCATATAAGGGTTGGGAAACCATATCTTCTTTGATTGTCAGATTCTACCTCAGTCTTACACTATCCATTGACGCATTTTTTTTTCTTTGCAGGAAAATACATGAACTATCATGCTAGTAGTAAATAAATAGCTGACAACTCTTTGATTTATTTACTTCTCTTTTAAAGCTACAAAGCAGGCGACCCATGCATTTTTTTGGAACACTCTAGTTTATATGAACCGATATTTTCAGTTACATTTTTGTGTGACTCTATATTTTTCTGTATATAAAGTACATGTACGTTTTACATGTATTTAAGTCGAAAGTCAACATATTTATGGCTAATTTACATACACTTATCATGTACATTTACAAAAATAATGGTATGTCTAGAAACTGACCAAAATAATTCTTCTTAAAGGAATTTTTTTTTT